ACATCCTCTGCAAAGTGAACCCTCTTTCTCCTCTTCTTCTTCTCCGTCGTCTCTCTCTTCTTCCCCACTTCAGAAAAAATAAAATAAAAAACTCAAAAAATGAATGATTTCTGTAAGTAATTATTAAACAAAATTGAAACTTTTATTGGTAGGGTTTTTTAGAAATTAAATTGCTTACCAGACGAAATGGAGGAGTGGGATTTATGGAGGCAGAGGGAGAGGACGATGAGAGTGCCAGAGAGAGCTGCCATGGCTGTTGCCAAAGCCATGGCCATTCCTTGGGAGCTCAAAATGGAAGAAGACATATTGTAAATTTATTTTAGCTTTTTGTTTGGAGAAGAGACCATGGAAATTATGAAAAGAAAAGAAATGAGTAGAAAGTAAAGGAAGGGAAATGAGATATTTGGGAAGGAGGAGAGAGTTTGTTGGGCTGTAATTTTCTATAGATAGATAGATTGAATTTACTGTATGGTAGATATATATGAATTTAATAAACTATTTAGGGTGGGTTGGGAGTGACGGTGAGATAAGTGATTTCGAAAAAAAAAATCTAAAATGATACTGTTAAGTAATTTTATGTTGTCCTAAAATAAATTTTTTAAATTACCAAAAGAGTGATTTTGACATGATTTTGTCACTCTCAAACACATTTTTAATTGAATGGTAGTTTATTTAACTTTTAACAAAATAAGGGATAGATATTAGACCCGATTCAAACTTTCAATCTTCGAAGACTTGACAATTTAGAAACTTTCAATCTTGGAAGAGTTAGCCATTTCTTTTTAATTGAATTCAAAATGGCAGAGAGTCAAAACAAATTTTGATGCAAAGTTAAAAAAATAAAAAAAAATTATCTTTTCAAAATAATAATAATAATAATAACTAAAATAAATAAAAGATTAACTTGAATATAGTTTGAGCAATTATATAATAGTTTTATTTAGTCGATTATAGGGTTCGCATAGCCTTCCTCATTTATAATATAGTAATAATTTTAAAATATATTTACGAGAGTTCATATATGCTAAATAGAAATTGTATTTGATGAATGAAGGGATAAAATCAAATCATTCAATCTAAAAATTGGACCACCTTCGACATTGAATTAGAAATTATAAAGTTGACATCTTGTTATTGATATATACAATTTGGAACTTTTGGCCTGACTTAAAAATTTAGCAAAAATTATATAAAGGCTTGTTTGAAAATATTATTGTTTCTAATTTTATTAAAAAAATCAAAGTATTTTTTACAACTATTTATGTTTCTCGTTGTTTTTAGAAACATTCCCATAATCTATATAAGATTTTTGGAAACAACAAAAGATAAGTTTCTTATTTTCATTTTCATTTTTATTTTATTTCAACATAAACAAAAAATTGGTTCACAGGTTGTTTTGAGAAATGTCAATACTTTTAAAATGAAGATAAAATGTTACATGCAAACTTTTCTATTTCTATTTCTATTTTGTTATTTTTGTAATTACCTCAAAAGTTTTTATGTGGCAATTTTAAAAAGAAAAAAAATAGACGTTCATTTTAACGGTTGTTTGCACATATTATCTCTGGTAGTCCCATCCTTAACCACCATATCTTGATCATAGTGGATTATTTTGTTCATAGTTTATTTTTTCCATAAGATTCCCTATATAAAATTTTGCATATTCTTTTAAATCATTATCATTAGCTATCATGTCAAAACTTAAATATTTTTTTTAATAATTACTATTTTACATATAATTAACGATTAACTTAAATATTGATAAATACGTAGTACAATTTTTATCATAGATATATTACACTTGTAAATTTTTTTTCTTTAGTTCAACGGTGAGATAAAAAATTATGACTTTTGAAATGGTAATAGACGTCTTTACACTGCTAAATCAAAAGACACATAAAATTATAATTGTTAAAAGCATCATTATTCAATAAGAATACATAATTTGATGTTTTTAATACCTACTATTTTTTGTAATGTTAATTAAATTTCTATTAGAGATCAAAACTAATGAAATTATAGTAAACTAAGAGGCAAACTTACAAATGGAAGGTATTAATTGCATATACTAGTGACCACATGATTTCATAGGATTCCATTATTTTGCCACTAAATTATTGTTTAATTAAGAGTGATAAAATTAGACTATGACGTGACAAAGAGGGAAGTATTTTTACCAAATAAATCATTTATTCATTTGCATATGTTCTATGATATTATATCATTTTCTATCCATTTTTTTACTTCATAAAATTAGATCGTTAACCCATATAAACAATTATACAAATTATACCCCAATAAACTTCATCATTTTGCAACTCTTTTAAGATAAATTAGGAGTCAACCAGAGCACAGCTAGACGGATTAAGACACATATATCAAACCATGAAGTTGAGAGTTCCAATTCGCAATTCGCACCTCCACGTGTTGTACTAAAAATAACAGATATTTAATTTAAAAAAAACAGATTCTCACTTTTTTTATGAGTTTTTAATTTTTTCTTTTTATAAATAATAGCCTTTGTCACTTGAATTATCTAGCTCCGTAGGAATCATTCAGTAACGTTCCAATCATTATTTGTATTATAAATTAACCAAGTAAATGCAATAAAAAGCTATAATAATGACTTCATCACCAAGTCTCTCCAATTATTGTTGTTTATGTACTGTAACTCTATCAAATTAATTAAACCCCTTCATCTCTCTTTATTTGATGCATTAAAAAAACTTCTCTTTCTTAGAATAAGTGAGATTTTTGGTAAAGTTATTGAATAGGAGAGGCATACTCTAAAGCATAGACTTTATAAATGGACCAAAATGAAGTCTTCAAAAATACTCTATGAACAACTAAAACAAAGGCTAAAACCTAGGTTTTTTTTCCTTCAAAAAAAATATTATTTGTGAGATAATTTGTTCTCACTCATATTTTTTTCAACTTTGTATGTTACAAAAATAACAAAATTATCATTGTTTTGTTTGGATAATATACCATATTTAAAAATATAAATATTTGGAATAGTGATTTATTAAAAAGTGTGATAATTTTATAGATAGAAACATAGATGAGTTGACTTTTATATAAAAGAAGATGAACTATTATTTATTTATTTTTTGACAACATCTTTTGAATGGTTATTGAAGGTGAAATATAATTTTAAAGAATTATATTACATGTGAATTTTCTCTATCATTATTACTGTTCATTTTTTTTTTTTTTGTTTATTTTGCCGAGAAGTGTATTAATGATTAGAAGGAAAAGCAGAGGTGTTCTCTTCCTGAACACACCTCGAAGAAGTAATTTAATTAGCATTAGTTACAATAAATAATGAATATGCCATAGGCATGTACTTAAAATTATTTGAGATTTTATTAATACAGACTTTCTCATTACAATAGATACATTAATATATTTGAAATGATATCTTAAAAAACTGAGTAATTTTTTTTAAAGAAAAAAATTGAGTAATAAACTTAGATCATCCTCGATATAATATTGGAGCATTAGTCTCTTGCTTTTCTTTTTCCTTTTTGTTTAAATATTTTTTATTTGATTCGTTTTGGTGTATGCACTCTCAAAACATCAATTTAAAACAACCATTTTCGTCTTTGTATTTTTAAAGAGGGTACATTTCAATCATTAAATTTGAATTAAAAAATACAGTAAAAGATTAAAAAAATGAAGGTATTACATATATAAAAGAGTAAAAGACATGTGGGGTAGGGATCCAACACAAAATCTTTAGATTAGAGATATATTTCGATCACCACTAAACTATGCTTGTTTTGCTTGAAAGATTAATAAATAATAAAAAAAATCAACACGTATTTATTCACCATTGCCCATGAGTGTTGATCATAATGCTACTTAATGTTTAGGAGAGGAGTTTTTTATTTTTATTTTTATTATTGTTCTTTTTTTCATTTCGCGTTAAATAATAGAAAATGAGTTTTCTTAATTATTTTTCTTGTTATTTTTTAGTACAATATATGGGGTTGAGATTTGAACTTACAATCTCTTAATTGGAGATATATGTCAATTACTATTGAGCTATGCTCGCTTTGACTTATTTTTGTTGTTTATATATACTGAACAAAGTTACTTTTTGTTCATTAAAAGATGTTACTCCTACCAAAGCAAGCATAGCTCAACAGTAATTGGTACATATATCTTCAACCAAGAGGTCGGAAGTTTAATCCCCCACCCCACATGTTATACTAAAAAAAATGTTACTTCTAGTTTCGTTCTTTTTCATATTCTTTTTTTTAATATTACATCTTATTGTAAAATATATACGTTACATCACATTTATAACATGAACTATACAATTTTTTTATTATTATTAATCAAGATAAGTTTTTTTATTTTCGTGAGTGTTTGGGTCAGCTTGCACGCACCTCGACTAATCTCGCGGGACAATTGTGTGACTGTACAATATTTAGTGTTAGAAAGCACATAGAAATTTACTAATTCTTAAGGTAGGTAACCATCTTGGGGTAATCAAAATAAATCTTAAATTCATTTAATATTTTTTTATGGACCATTTGGATATATGTAACAAAGGTAGGAAATTAAACATACGAGGCTTTAGATTCATTCTAAATCGACCTAGGTAACAAATTGGAAAATTGAAAAACTACCCTATGAAGTGAAGGTCATGGGTTTAAAATAAATCATTGTCAATGGGAGAGAATAGAAACCTATAGAAAAGATAACTTAGAACCATATGGTAGTAATAAATACGATGAGTACCTTTTCAAGAAAGAAAAGAGAAAAGACACTTTTTTTCAAGATTTATTTATTTATTTTTGAGTTCATAATAGAAGATTGAATTGTCAACTTTTAAATTATGCTATGTTCAAATTAATGACACTTTTCTAAGTTGATGGATACCGTGACGCCACCATAAAGCAATTAAACTTAGAGATGAGAAACAACGTGTTACAATTAAATCTCATAGTTGAGAATTATTTATTTTTTATCTGCAAATGATTATTATTCGAGTTTGAAATGTTGTTAAAACCCAAATTATAACTAAGGGTTTTGTTTTCTATGAGCTAACAGCAACCCTAAAATAACAAACTAAATGGAAAATGGTCAATCTAAGCATAGTTCAAACACACCTATCTCCGACGAAAATGTCGTGAGTTAGAATCTCCACCTTCACACACATGTTGTATTAAAAAAAAACACAAAATGGAAAATGAAAACAATTATAACCAAATATTTTATTTACACATGTGACAAAATATCTATCCTTAAACCTATTATGAGAGAGAAAGTACTCGTCATGTCCTAAATTTAGACAAAAATGAACGAAACTTTACAAATTATTCTTAGCCTCAAATATATAAAAATAACCCAATTGGGGAGAAGAGTAGATTAAAAAAGTGAAGTTGTAGATTGAGAATGTACTAATTTAACAAATTAAAACCCTATATAGCTAGAGAAACTTAATTAATTAATAATTAGTTCATAGGTTGCATAATATAAGGTGTCACCTCTCAATTTTTTTGGTTCAAATTATGACCAAGCTAACCTATGGAGGGAGAGAGAGGAAAAAGTCAAGAACTTGGACAAAATAATTTATTTGGGTAAGTATATATATATGGTACACAACTATATTACAATAAGAGGAGGGATTTAGTTTTACAATGATGATGAAGAGAAAATGATAGCAATATTCATCCAACTTTTTGATTAATTCACCGACACTATCCTCAATCTACAACAATTTTGTACTTGAGAGACCACCAACGTTCAAATTTACAAAAATACAATGTCACAAAAAAAAAATAATAAATAAACTTTAGTTTTATTGAAATATATATTCACCTCTCTCAATTTTATTTTGTCCATATGATCATAGCTTAACTAGTCGAATAATATACATTTTCGACCAAAATGTTATAATTTTGAATTTTCATACTCCACGTGTGGAACTAAAAAAACTTTAAAAAAAACTACTGAACTTTCAATTTTCCGTCTATTAGATTTGTGTTAGATCTATTATCATAAGTTTGAATCTATTTTAATATATAGAAAGTTGGGTCACAACGCTAAACTTACAAATTTAATAGTAGAAACCTATTAGACACCAAAAAAAAAGTTTATAACCCTATTTTAAAAAGAAAATAATCACAAGGATCATATAGCTTGCACAACCTTGAAAACCTACTAGAAACTGATTAATTAGGAATAGAATAAACAACTCTTTGAAGATGGCGTAGACGCAAAAATCTAAGGTCTTGTAATATCACTTATCTGGTGTTTGAATCATACGTTAGTTATAGGGATCAACTCAGCATAAGTATTCCACATGACATTGTTCAACGATAGATTTTCCTATTACTCTCATAGTCTCCGAAAGGATGAGAACCAACTATGACATCTACCTCGAGAATTCAAGTATTGTATAGTCATTAGTCCGATCATTTGTAGGAACTACTCATAATAACAAACTTGCAAAATGAATCTGTTTTTCGTAATTCGTATGATGTAATTGGAGTTCATCCTGGTACGAGAATCAATTTAGATATTCCAATGGTGGACTTAAACAGACCATTTTAACAGAAAAAAGAAAGTATTGATAGAAATATGAAATTGGGTTGATTGATTAATTAATTGGATTCCTCAACCATATCCATTTTTAAGTTAAAAATTTCACCTTTTCCCCACGGGTTGTCTATATTAATTCCTCGTTTTCCCTCTTTGATCCGCCATGGTACTTTGCCCCTCACATTCTGAGTCTGACACACTCAATCTCTCTCCTCCCTTCTTTCTCTCTCTTCAACTCTGAAACCAAAATTAAACATATTCATACGATCCATCATGGTGCCATCAAAGAAGTTCAGAGGTGTTAGGCAGCGCCACTGGGGATCTTGGGTCTCTGAAATTCGCCACCCTCTTCTGTAACTTCTCTCTCTCCATACTCTTTCAAGTTTATGGGTTACGTTCTCCATTTAATTCTACCTCTAAATCTCTTTTTAAATCTTAAGTTGACAGGCTAGGATTTGTTTCTTTTGGTAATTTACGTCGATCTCATCTCTGAATCAAAAGCTTGATTATTAATAGGTTACGATATAACGCTTTTTTGTATTGTTTCACTCTGGATAGAATATTAAATTACGATTTCATGTGAATGCTCAATATCTAAAAATTTAAGCTTTGATTATGGTGTAGAATTTTGCCTCATTTGTGAACTTAAAAAGAACAATACTTTCTTATTAGGTAGCAGACTTTTTTCCCATCACTAAATTTTTTCTGAAGCCAAAAAGGAAATGCACGTATTTACACTTAAAAAGGAATAATAATGGGGTACTTATTTTTAGAGGGATCGAGAAAAGAGACCTTTTCTTTCTTAAAAGAGTAAGATCCAACGGTGGTGAAAAAGGCAAATAGTACCAAGAAAATTGATGAAAAAACAAGAGTGATCATCAAAATTCAATTAGAAGAAAATAATATAGGTATGTTCAATCAATCGTGGGATTGAAAATTGAATATATGACCTCTAAGAAACGAAGAAAAAATCTCAAGTTAATGGTTATCGGGGTTAATATATATTTTTTTAATTTTATTTATGTTCTCTTGAGCAGAAAAAGAAGAGTTTGGTTGGGAACTTTTGAGACGGCGGAGGAGGCGGCGCGAGCATACGATCAAGCCGCCGTGATAATGAGCGGCCGGAACGCCAAAACCAACTTTCCGATGAGCCAAACGGCAGCGGCAGCCGATCAAGAAAAACCCGACCGGATTTCACCGTATTCTCCGAAAGGTCTGTCGGAGATTCTCCACGCCAAGCTTCGAAAATGCGGCAAAGCGCCGTCTCCATCGATGACGTGTCTGAGGCTCGACACTGAAAATTCCCACATCGGCGTGTGGCAGAAACGCGCCGGCCAACCCACCTGGATCATGACCGCTCACCTCGGAAAACAGACTGCCGCACGAGACGACGGTCGTTTGCGAAATAATAGTAATAATAATAACTTTTCTGATGTTCCTGCTCGTCCTCCAGTGACGACGGGTGGACCGCATCGGAGGAATCTGCAGATTGATGAGGAAGAAAGAATTGCGCTGCAAATGATTGAGGAATTGCTGAGCAGAAACTGCTGCAGCCCATCTGATCATAATCTTCAAGTTCAAGTTCAAGATCAAGGGGAAGAAAGTTTTAATTTCGCTCTTTAACTTAAAATTAATTATATATATTATGATTGGCGTTGTGTGTGAATTTATATACATAATATATGATATTAATTACTATGATAATTATTATTATTTATGTATGCAACTGTACATTGAAATAAAGTCTCAAGTTTACTAGGAAATGACTTAAATTTGTGTCATTTGCTAAGTGAGATCACTTTAATTAGGATTAGTTTAAGTATATAACTTCTTCTTGTAATTTTATTTTCTTTTTATATTGTAAACTTCGAGAGGTATTTTTTCACGGTTTTTAATTAATATGAAATCATTATAAGGTTTCTTTGGGTGAAGATTTTGTTTTTATTTATTTTGAGAAATATTTTCATTTTTTATTTTATTAGTGAATAGCGGAGTTAATTCCTATTTTAATTAGAATGGATGGTTTATAAAATTCTGTGTATGATTATTGGATTATAGTATGGACAATACTTCTTTATTGTGTGAGCATTAGGGAGATTTTGTTATCGTGCCGTATTAAGCTTTTGAGAGATTGGAGAGAGACAGAGAAGAAGAAAAATGCACACTTTACTTACTCGATCCAAATTTTTCATTTTTTTTTATCTACTATTAATCTTGAACTAAATTAAGAAATAAAATATAGAGAGACCAATTGAGAATGAGAGAGAGACTAAATGAGGACACAGATGAAGAAATCAGTGAGACTAAACGATGGAACAAGATCAAGAGAGAGTGTGTGACAAAGAATGCGACAGACCAAATGAGGGAATAAAAAGCTAGAGGGAGAGAGACCAAACGAGTTTAAGAAATCGATGAAATAAAGACATTCCACACATAATAAGAGAAAGATCGAGTATATATATCTTAACATTATTGAGTTATACTCGTATTAATATTTAATGTCCTATTGCATATAACTGATTGCGGATGAAACTAATTAGTCTCCTTTATCTTAAAATTTTCTTCTTTCCACTAAAAAAAACATACATCGATCACAAGATTTCAATCTTGAACTTGTACCCCTTTTGTATAATTAAATTTATAGATATCCAACTTAACTTAAATTATTTTTTTATGGGTTCTAGTTTGCATATCTCAACTAAAACTTATATCAATGGCTCGATTCAAACTTAATGAACTATTTAGACTTATCTGAGTTTAAATTTTCCTCAAGTAATCTTGAATCCATCTAATGAAATTAACAACTAAGCATTCAAGATTTGGATTATCAAATCATTATCAAATAAATTAGAGAATAATTAACGCCATTGCACCATTTAGTTTCAAAAGCTTTCAAATTTGTTGTTAATTAGCATACCATTTTTAGTTGGCATAGGATTTGAATATATAAAATTTTTCTACCAAACAAAGTGAACATAGTTCAGTGGTATTATACAAAAAAATAATTTAAAAAATTTATTATTATTTATTTTTCAGTACAACAATTGGAGTGAGGTGTTTCGATCTCATGACTTCATAGTCAAAGATAAGTTAAGRAGCTCGTGTGGGCATTTTTTAAAAATTATTCCTACATCAGAAGACTTGTAATTATTTGTGACCTATGGTTCAAAATTTTGTTTGGTTGTGCCCTCACAAAATATATGAAACCTACCCACAATCATGACAAATAGTAATTTTATTTTTGTAGTCCAAAAAGCGAGATTTCAAATCTCCGACCCTCTAAGAAAGTTAAAGTAGTATGTGGACCAGTTAAGCTAATCTCGTGTTGGCTAGTACTTTCATTTTCTATATCCTTTTTGAAAAGTTATTTAATTGTTTGGTTTCAATTTAATTTTGATTTTTTTAGTACTAAATTTTATTTTGATCTACGCTTTATATATTTTGGTGTCTAAATTGTTAAATATTATACTTAATCTCTTTATTTTTAGGCATATCTGTATTAGTCTTTAAATTTTTAATAATTAGTATATCTACCTACCTTTTCTCTATTCATCCCAAAGAAGAGGAATAGCTTTAATTAAATATCCCACACGACCATATACAAAAGCAAATTTATAATTTTTTTTAAGAAACAAATAAACCAAACTTTGAAAATCAATCATGGTCATTGACATGTTTAAAACGTGATACTAATTAATAACATATATCTTTTTGTAACTCATTCTTATTTCATTTATCACATGTACAGAATGTTAAAGATTCCACGTTGAAAAGAAAATGGACCTAACAAGAGGGTTTATAATATAAGTGGACTACTCCTCTCGTAGCCAATTGGTTTTTGTTAGCTTTACGAGCTTCAATCACACCAAATATTTTGATGATAACAAACTTTATTTACTGATGATTTTAGTGTTTCAAAGTGTCCATAGCACAGAGCTTGGAAAGACGAATTCAACGTATTTTGAATCACTTAAATCAGAGTTCAAACAAATAAATTATAGCCAAAACAAGTTGGTGAAAAAAAGCACATGTGGCAGGTGATGTGGCATCTAATTGTCAAATTATGCCACCGTGGCAATAATGTGGCAGTAACGTGGCATCAATAAATTTGGTGACGTGGTGGATGACGTGGACATATCATGTGACGACAAGTGACGCTTTCAATTTCGACAAATCAAATTCCTACAATTCTATCAATTCCACGATCTTTTTACAATTTCACATAATTTCTCAATCTCCATCAATTTCTCCAAATCTCCAGAATTTTCTTTATTTTTTTCCTTATCTCTATTTTTAATCTCCATCATCCATCCTTTGTTGCCTTAAATCCAACGGCCAAATTTCATCTTCGAAACTCTATTTAAAGCCACCAAATTTCACCATTCTCCAMCCCAATTATCAAAGCAAACATTCTTCTATCTTCAAATCAGTTTGCTTTCAAACTTTTATTCTCTCCCCACAAAAAGTTGCCAATATTTTTTTGGTGAGAGAGTTTAGCTTTTTAGCTATTGCTTTAGTGTGAAATTTGTAAATTCACCTCAGTGAGGTATTTTCTTTGTATTATTCATTTCAAATTTTTGGGTTTTGTATTAAGGTGCGGGTACACCTTGAGTCGTGAGAAAAGGCAATTGGTTGGATCCTGAATCCTAGGACAAAAAAGAGAGTTGATTGGTTTGGTTCTCACCTGTAAGAGAGTCGGCGCAGTAAAATACCCAAAAAGGTCTTGGGGAGTGAAGTAGCGATTTTCGAACCACTATAAAAATTTCTGGTGTCATCTTTCTCTCTCCTCTTTAATTTATGTATTTAAATTTCATTTGATTTTTTGTTATTTTTAAAATTGTTTTTTAAAATCTAAAAGTTTGTAAGCAACCCTATTCACCCTCTAGTAATGCCATATCGATCCCACAATTTTGAGATGAAATTCCATGAATATTTATATATGGTATCAGAGTCCAAAAGCTCAAATGAGCATCCGGTCTGAAAATGAAATCTGTCCAAGATCGATGAGCCAAAAGAGCGGATCCATTGAATAGAGGATGAATGTTCGTTTCATTGTTAATTAGTTTTGAGATGGAACCATGAATATTGATAGAATATGAACTCTATTTGCAATAAAAATTTAGGTAGGGATTATTTGAAAATGTAGTTGGAAACTTAATGAAATCTTACTTACTACTTTGAAAATAGAGACACAACAATCTCTAAGATAAAGAAAACTTCCAAGGATATAGTGGTTTGTGGTTGATAATGATAATGAATGTGTATTTGTCAAAAATATGTCTTTCTCCCCTTGGATCTGTTTGGTACCCTTAAAAGAAAAAGAGTGCTTTCATTTGTGGTCCTCTATATGTTTAGGAATACCAATTTAAACTTTCACCAAATTTTGTACCAAAATTTTGAATTCATTGCTTGACAAACATGCATGAAGAAAAAGTTAATTTTATGTCTTGTCCCTTTCTTCAAAAGTGAAATGGTTTAGAATTTATTGTTTGGACGATAAATTAGAGTTCAGAGTCATTGTAAAAGTTATAAGAGAGTTTATTTTAATACAACACGTGAGATGAAGATTCGAATTCGTAACTTTTTAACATTGTCAGCCAAATGAGCATCATATAAAAATGATGTGGGTCTAGCATCATTATTAAATTATTTTTAAAAATAAATTATATAGTGTGAACAAAATGAGTGGATATAAGTAGTAGTAGAAATTTTTCCTTAACTAATAATGGTCAATGAGGACAACTTTTAGGATCGAAGTTGCATTAAAATGCCTCTCTATATTATCGTCGACGAGTGGTAATCATTATTTATTTTGGGGTTTAATTTGATGTGTAACTTAGGGCATCTTTGTCCCCTTTATTTTACTCAAACCATATCTGAATTAAGTTTTAGATAGGTTGAAGATATTTAATAAGTGAAAGAATATAAAGTTACATTGAAATCTAGAAAATATCATTATGTCAATTTAGATATAGGTTAAGTGATCAAATAAATATCATAGAAGTTCAAATCCCTCCCAATGGGGTTAAAATTGAAGAATAATATTTAAGAATAATTTTAACTGAAACTTAGCACTTGTTTTCTTATTGATTCCAGGGGCGGCGGCGTTCTTGAATGAAGTCGAGACGAACCAAATTAGCACTTCTCAGATCACGTTAGGCCTCTCCAGCAGAGCTAGGCGTCGGGGCCCTGGATGCGGCCCGTTGGTCAAAGGAAAGGGGAGGTCCTGATGCCGAGACGGAGCCGTATGTGGCGCCTCAGGCTGAATTCCATGGTCGAGAACGCTGTAATAAGAAATTGGCCATGAGAGACCTTTTTAAGTATGGCAAAAGAAAAGGCCTGCTGATAGAGCTGGGCAGGAAGGCGAGGGCAATTAATCAAAGTGAGACCAGCTCGATTCGGATATCGAATCAAAGTGGATTTGTGTGTAACCAACTCCAGTTCCGGGAATCCATAGATGGATTTTGAAGAGTAAAACGTAATCGAATGAATCGATGYCGTCCATGCCAATGATAGAGTACGACATATGAGTTCAGACCCTTATGTGACCTTACCTGCGCTCTAATCTAAAAACTTGAAGAATAATATTTAAGAATAATTTTAATAAAATAGTCAAATAATCTAAAAATTCTTCATTTTGCTTAATTTGAGGTTCATTTCTATTAATTTTTTATTTTAAAATGTTAAATAGTCAAGATATGATATCACAAGTAAAATCATATTATCCATCAAGATCCAGTTTAATTTAGAGTTAATCGTATTTTGGTCCATCAGCTTTTAAATGTTTTATCTTGGACCTAAATATTATATAAAACATATTTTAGTTATTTTTCAATAGTAATTATTATATGCCAAAGCGATCATAACTTAGCGGTAATTGATATATACCTCCAACCAAGAATTATGAGTTCGAATTCCCTCCCCAACATCTTGTACTAAAAAAACAAAAATTGAAAATTTTAGGGTAAGATATACTTTTGGTCTTTAAAGTTTGAACTAAATGTTTATTTTGTAACAGAAATTAAAAAGAAAAAACATTTTGTTCATGAGATTTGAAAAATGGTTATAAATGGTCTTTGAAATTTGGTTAACTAATGAAAAGATGACATGGTGTTTATTGTAGTCTGGAATGACGAATGACTTTGTTAGAGTGACTTCGTTTTCAAGTTTGGAAGATGACAGCAGATGAGCGACGAATAGGGAGACGACTGTTCTAAGGAGAAAAGAAAAGAGAGAAGAGAGAATGAGTGACTTGCCACCTCATAATCTAATTACTAAAGAATATAAATTTGTCAAGTTTGTCAATTATAGTTAATATCACATCATCTTTTCGTTAGTCAATTAACTCTCAAATAAGTTCATAAACTATTTAAAACTATTTTTTTAACCTCAGGGATCAAAGGGTCCATTTTCAAACCTCGAAATAGATACAATATTTCACGAACCAAAAATATATTTTACCAATAATTTACAATCCCTTTTTCCACATAGTACATGAGGGTAAATGGGCTTCGATGGGCTGACAATAAGTCCATGATTGGTCTTCTACACAGTTAAAAGCCCATTAATTTTGTCATTGGGCTTGAGAGAGAATTTGAAGTATTATGAAACTCGACAAAACAAAACAAAAAACTAACTTGACATGTATACCTCAATAAAAATATTGAAATCTCAACTTTATAGAAACATTAATGGATATTCTTTAAATGATCATAAGCAAATATTAACATCCTTAGTATATCCTCTTTAAATTGAGAAATTTTATTCATTTTATGAATTAATACCTCTTAAAGCTGAACTCCTAACTAATTCTTTGCAACTATTTATCTCTTGCAAGCACATCTAGGTCACGGGCAGCTTGATTTTATTCTCTTAAGATGCTCCAAATTTATGTAAATGTCACTATTTATTAAATACTAATAAGAATTTTTTTTATATAATTAGTTAAGAAAAAAATATATTAACTTTCACATCATCAATCAATTCTCATGTCATGTCATGACCATCAACAAACAATTAGAACATTTGAAGAATGAAAAGCGAATATTTTCTAAAGTTAAGAAATCACATCTCATTTTAAGAAGCTAATAAACTTAAAAGCTTAAAAAAGCAAGATGGAGATATAAATTTAATTTTTATTTGGTTACTATAATTTAATTTCAAAATGAAATTTAATACAAAACCATTATTTTGGTTGCAAACAATTGGGATAAATTCAATTACTTTACATTTGGCAGGATAATCAATTTTTATCCTAAAACTTTTAATTCTATCCAATTGAACTTTAGACTTGACAAAATGTAGTTTTTTTAACCTTTTTCATCAACTTTTATTGCATTCACCCACTAATGTCAATAATAATAATAATAATAATAATAATAATAATATACATATATACAAATCTCTCATAAATCACTAATTAAACAAAAACCAAGCGCTAACAAATAAATGCATAAATAATGCCCGAACAAATCAATCCATGAGATAAACTAAAGAGTAAATTTAGTTATAGTGTCAACTTTCTCTAAAGCCCCATCAATTTCATAACATATTTCTTTTTTATAATAATTAAATTCTAAAATAACTTAAAATTACAACCCCTAAAAATGGAATTTCAAAATAAAAATAGCTCAGGTTGCCAAGTTCAAACTTCTCCACAGAAAAGAAAAGAAAAAAAAAATTAAAAAAACTTTAATTCAACTTGAGCCAACCAACCACTTGCTGCCATGAAATAAATAAAGCATAAAAAATATATTTTTTTTAAAATAGCACATTAAAATAAAAAAAAATATATAAATCCTCATCCATCGCTTTGAGGGAATATTATAAAAAACCCGAAATATGCCGAAAGGAAGATAAAAAGGGATATTCGAATTTCGAAGACAAATTCTTCGAATATTCTTCCCTGACCGTTATATTCCATTCCCCTTTCCTCTTCTCTTCAACTTCACCATTCGATTTCCAAATTCCAATTCCAGATCCAGTTCCAATTTCTCTCTCGTTTTCCCCTTCCATTTCTGATTCTCCGGCGCCGGAAACCGGGGTTATGAAGTTCGGCAAGAGCCTGAGCAACCAGATTGAAGAAACTTTGCCGGAGTGGCGGGACAAGTTTCTGTCCTACAAGGAGTTGAAGAAGAGGCTGAAGCTGGTGGAGCCTAAGGGCGGCGACCGCCCGAGCAAGAGGCCGAGGATCGATGCCGCCGGGAGTTCTGCAGAGTATGGAGAGACGGACGATTCGTCGAGCGAGGAGATGAATTTCATTAGGTTGTTGGAGGATGAGCTCGAGAAATTCAATACTTTCTTTGTTGAAAAGGAGGAAGAGTACATCATTCGATTGAAGGTATTTCTTCGTCTTTCTTCTTCTTTGCTTTTAGTTGTTTTTTAGCTTCTCATTCTCCGTGGTTTTGGTCTGCTGTGGTGAAAAGAAATTGAATTAGACCTCTCAATTATTCCATTCCTTCCGCAATTGACAGAGTAGTTACGATTCTGTTCTGGAAACTTTCCAAGCCAAACGAAAATCCGATTCTCTTATATGTTGTTGGATCGACATAGGCATTTTGATTTAATCCTGTAGTTCCTAAGAAAAGATTGTTTGTCTGTGTTGCTCATGCCAATCTGTAGAACTAGTTGATGATTCACATTCATTCAAGATTTCAAGTAGACAGAAATCTTAGGATTAAGAAATTTGCACCAATAGTTTAAACTACCTAATTCAGCTCTCTTGAAACAATAATCAATCATCATACAATTACAGGTCCATAGAGATGACCAAATTGCTTCCCTTTTTTGGCCTCTTGAATAATCCAGGAGTTACAGGATAGGGTAGGAAAAGCAATGGACTCCAATGAAGAGATGATCAAAATTCGTAAGGAGATTGTAGATTTCCATGGAGAGATGGTTCTCTTGGAGAATTACAGTGCCCTCAACTTTACAGGTGTGCAAACTTTGTTAACCTTTTCTCTTCTTTTTCTTTTCAATTATCCTTTCCCTACTTTTATATTTGATTGGTTAGCAATTGACATGGTTGTATGTATTTAATTTATACCCTTTCGTAGTAAAGTCTTTAAGGAATACGACATCTTTTGTCTCCCATTTTTCATTTTGATAAATATCCTGTGGCCATTTTTTTTGCAACTTTATGCTATTTTGTGTTCTTACGGCACATTCTGCTGAATCGATTCCTTTATAGATAGAATATGCTTCCATTGCCTTAGAAGAAGAAAAGCACTTTGTAAGAATGAAGTAATTCTTTATTGCTCAAATAATCTTATCCACAACTTGCATACCTTTTCAATAGGACTTGTGAAAATCCTGAAGAAGTATGACAAAAGGACGGGTGCGCTCATCCGCTTGCCCTACAGTCAGAAAGTTCTGCAACAGCCTTTCTTCACGACCGACCTGCTTTACACGCTCGTGAAGCAGTGTGAGATGATTCTGGACCTTCTCTTCCCTCTGAATGAGCTGCCCTCTTCGGGTTCAAATGGAGTTGATGAAGTTGGTGCTCCTACAAAGCCAGCCACCACCAACATTGATGATCTGCTCAAGGCAACCAAGGAACTTGCAGAGATTGAGTATATGGAGAGTCTTTATATGAAAAGCACAGTATCCGCATTACGGGTCTTGAAGGAAATTCGAAGTAGGAGCTCGACCGTCAGTGTCTTCTCATTGCCACCATTGCAAATGAATGGATTAGAGGATACATGGAAGAATGTTCCAGTGCTGGAAGAAGTAGCTAAGTAGAAGATGGTTCGACTATCATCGACGTACAAGGAAGTTCCTTTCTAGTTTTGTATGTCTTCCTTTSATACTCGTATGTGTAGTACTTTTGATACTAACAGTAACACATGTAAAACTGAAGTATAAAGTTTAAATGATGCAGACTCTTATAAAGGAATGCTAAATCAAAATATTATACAGTATCTTTAGCATTTTTTTCTCTACCAACACTACCACGAATAACACCTCATTTAATGATATAGAGGTTCTGGAGAGTTAAGAATGGTTACTGTAATGAACAGAATTAATGAAGCAAAAGGTATGGATCAGAACATTATGCACAAGTCAAAACAATTATTGTGGAAATACCATACCGGTTTGTCGAAAAATACGTTAAAAATGTAGGATTACACTTTTACAACAAGCACAAGATGGAAAGAAATGTAAGCAGCTCAACAAAAATGCAAAACTCATTCTTTTTCAGTGAAGTTGGTAGATGATGGGAAGAAAGAAATGATACTAATTTGTCAAAAAGCCAACTAATGCTCCAAACATTATAGCTAAAGTAATATCCAAAGGAATATCCAATTGTGCTTCTTTCTTCCTTTTTTTTTTTAATATTACATTACAAATGAGGAGGGATTCAAACAGAAAATCCATGAGAGGAGGCATCAAATACCTAACCACTTGATCATATCTATGCTCAAGTCAACAACTCCACTATTGGTAGCTAGCATAAGAAGTCCTGTGAATTTGATTAGACTATTTGATAAATAGGGTGGAAAATGATCGCATTTATTAAACAGAAAATAGGAATGAAGATTATATTTCTAATGGTAAAAGCATATCAAAACCATTTAAGAAATAACTCAAGTGTGCTGTGAATACTAGGGATGAAATGGGATCGACTCCGTTAAATAGAAGGGAACTTTAGACTACTAACACTCACAAGGCAATGCTTTCAAGACGAATCCATAATGATTTAAGTGAACAGCTGATATCCTTGAGCTACCTCACTTTTCAGCATTTTCAACATTTTCAGCAATCCCCTTTTCGTAACGACGTTTGAACTTCGCAATCTGCCCAACGCTTTCAGCCATTTGGCGCTTTGCTCTGAAGTGGTAGACTTTACCTACATGGTGTATCTTGGTCATCATAACATGCATCAATCTGCCACTCTGAGTGACATATGATATCCACTGCATTTGAGGGTGCAAACCTTTCTTCATTGTACAAATCTGAGATCACAACTGAATTAGAACTATCACAGTAAAAAGCTGCATTTGAATTAAAAACTGCAAGTTTCAACCACTGTTCCTTTTTTCAATGGACGAATTTTCCTTTTTGTGCGTGTGTGGTGTATGTTGAGGGGAGGGGAGGGGCTGAGGGCGAACAAAAATGGATGAACATGTACAAGTATACCACTTTATAGAAGACTTGTATCAATGATCAAACATTCGGTGGGCATTATGCAAGTTTCAATATTCATGACCTCGAAAGTGTAGAAATTTGAAAGTGACAGCCATATTAAGGGGATGAAGAAAGATGGACATTTACAAGCACACCACTTTATAGAAGAATTTCATCAAACAGTTTCTCTCTCTCTTTTTTTTTTTTTTTTTTTTTACAATATTAGATTGCAAATGAGGAGAAGGGATTTGAAGCTACGATGGGCCACTAGATGCTTGGCCAACTGACCGATCCTTAAATCAACGAATTTTTCATCAAACAGTTGCTGACCATTAAGCAAAGTGCAATGTTCGTCACACTGATAAATAAAACTTTGAAAGGGACAGCCAAATTAAAAGGAAATAGAGAAGGATGAACATGTAAAAATATCACTTTACAGAAGAATTTCATCAAACAGTTGGTGGGTAGTTCGCGGGTACTATGCAATGTTCAATGTTCGTAACCCAAAAGAGTAGAAATTTGGAAGTGACACCCACAATGTGGCCGCCAATTATTTTTCTCTCATTCATCCAACCATTTTAAATATGGAAAGCAGAAACTACGCTATGCCCGTCGCATTGAATAATTTATCCGAACCCTAACTTGACCAAGGTATTTGTGCAACGGTTCTGAAACTAAAATTTCGTGCCCCACAGCTCAGGTTGAATAACATCAACATGGAGCAACCTAAATCACTCGTGTAATTACGTGCAGATAGTTTCTCGGCAAGTAAACAAAGATAAATTTTGATGAAAAAGAAATCCCTCGCGTGCGCCCAATGATTTATACACTTGAAATAGGCAACCGAAAAGCAAATCATATGCCAAAATCCGAAGAGGAGCAAGAATTAATTAGTAACCTCAACAAATGGAGAACAAACTTACAGATATCAACCCTCAAGTTGTGAAGGACTGGGTGAACAGCAATCCTTCTCCAAGGCACTGATTGCTGAAATGCGTCCGTTTCTGAAAACAGCGCGAGTTAGTAATAAGCTTGAATTTTCACAAACGGAAAAGAGAAGGTCAATCTCTCCAAATTGAACAGGAATCACCATTCAATTGAGCCGAAACATGTCCGCAATCTAATCGAGTATGAGAACGGATGAAGAAAGAAACTTGGAAATACAAAAATCAGAGAGAGAGAGAGAGAGAGAGAACCTTCTGTGACTGAATGAAGCGCAAACTGGTACTGCAAGAACACGCTCTCGATGGAAGACCTGGTAAGGAAGACGGAGAAGGGAGTTGTTAAATTACTCTTATACCCTCCATGAGAAATAAAAACAAGATGAAATGAATTGAGAGTATTTTGGTCAACTTGAAATCTTAGGTTATTGTTTAATTTGTTTTCCATTTTTTATCTTCTTCTTTTTTTTTCCACTTCTACCCTTCATCCTTGAATGTGGGATGGAAATCCAACGATCAACCTATCTTTTGGTATTTTAAATATTTTAAAAATCCACTTAAACTAATCAATTCTTCCATAGTAAATTTAACCTATCTTTTGGTATTTTAAATATTTTAAAAATCCACTTAAACTAATCAATTCTTCCATAGTAAATTTAAGTGTGACGTGTATTTGGTCCACAAGTTTTGAAAAAGATATTTTAGTTCCCAAAATTAAAAAAAAAAATTCTAAATTGGTAGTTCAATAGTTTACTTAAAAAAAAATGATATGATATTATTGAGGTGACAATTTTTAAATGACATACAATTTCAACAATCTTAAAACAACTCAATTTAAATGCAAAATTCCTTTAAACTATACATTACTTGCGTATTTATTCTCTTTCCTCATTTTTACATCAGCTCCCGAGTATTAGAAATACTTCAACAAACGTCACACTAAAATTTGTTAAACCTTACAAGTAATTCATGGAGGAGATCATTTCTTCTTTTTAGCAAGAAGAGGTCATACTTTAGATTTATTCGTTCAATAACATGTGGCATGTAGGAGTGAAGATTCAAACCTCTAACATTTTGGTCAAAGATATATACTTTAACCGGGTCAGGTTAAAAACTTAAAGTCATGCCATAGTATAGTCACATATTACATCTCAAAGTTCTCAAATCTTCAAAGGATGCAACAAAATAAATAGCAAATAACAGAAGAACATTCAGAATGTTCAACTACTGACCTGGAAATTAACCCATTATAAAAAATTACTGAAACTAATATGCTTTTTTCATCTCAGATAGACTAAAAATTGGTTGGAAAACACTCCTTTTTCTGATGCAGCTGAAGATAACTCATAGTTAACAGTACTAACTATCAGCTGTACTCATAAATCCACCCACAAAGCCAGCTCCATTACAGCCCCCACACAGGATGTCCCTTTTGCCTCTGCAATTTTAAAGGCAAGAACTTGTTCAAAACATCAAATTTAACCCTTTATAAGATGCTAACAAATTATTTAACTTATACCGCATTTAAATACGAGATGTTATGTTCAAATCCCCCTTCATTCACATTTTCTCAATTTCAGAAGAAACCGTTAGGACGTCCTAAAATAGTGGAGATCAAACCAGAAGTACTTGCTCAATATACCAATGTTTTCTCATAAAAAATGTGCAAAAGTACCACCTAGGTTGTAACAACACGCGGTTTCACCACGAGCATTTGTATAATTTATGTTTGGTTCATGGGTTTATAATTTATTAAAGTTAGTATTCAGTATAGAAGACAGAGTTTCATAAATATGGATTATACATCATGATTTGGGATAATTAAAGTGATATGAAAAATATATGCTCAACTTAACTCCGGGTTACACAAGCATAACTGTGACTGAACACCCTTACAATAAACTTAAATTTTCCGACTTATATTTATATGGATTGGAAGCAAACTTAGAGAGTCTTAGACTGTTGTCCACCCTATTACTTGCAAGTTATCCCAGAGTTTGTCTCTAAAAATTCTAAACTTAGCATTTTGGTTTACATGTCATTATAATTCAAATCTCTAAAATGAAGATAAGTGATGAGTAAAAAGCTAGACAGAAAAACATTAAAAGCAGGGAGAGTTTTTCATATATACCTGCACAGCCAGCATAAGCCACCAGCTTTAAACCGTCCATTGAAGTGATCCTCTGAATTAACTCCTGTTCCTTTACACTGAGAACAATTAACAGCACCTGATAATTGAAAGGAAAAAATAAAAAACCAATTTTAGAGACTGCTAATACAAACTATCTGAGAAATGAGGAATCTTGAGCGGATCAAAGAACTTTAAAGACATAGTCCCCAAGAAATGAATAAACAGAACAAAACACTACCAAACATAATTTGACACTACTGAACTTGGTTTTCCTATGAAAAATCAACTCATATTATGAAAGTAGATCAGTTAAGAAGGGAGATCAAATAGGGAATATATGTTGTTTGATGGCGGAGGAAGTTTTGTTTCATCCTCCATCCAGAGGTAAGGGAGGTGTCTAATGGACAGCTGCCCTTTTGCTTTTTTGTAGTACATTTGACTTGAGAGAAATAAAAGGATTATTAGTAGGGTGAATATCTTTAGAAGGTCTCGTCTGATGAGAATTGAAAAATGATTGCACCCAGATTGACTAGTTAGATATATGTATATAAAGTAGATCCTATTATTAGAACAATATAGAGATTGGGAGAAGTGACATTTATTTCCAGCCATTGATCTCTTTTAAGCTTGGAAAATCAATTAGCGCCGAATTTTGAGAGGGAAAGCTAAGTGCTGTTGGCGGTTAAATTTCCGGCGAAGCCATATTTGCTGTTTTATAAGTATGACCAAATGTACCTGCAACTGTATAAAATCAAGTTCTGCTGATGCCTTTGCATAAAAATTAAGAGCAACAAGTCAAACTTACAGCTGATCACCATTTTTTTATAAGAGACAGAAATTTCATTCTGTTACCTCACCCTTTTTCAATATTCATAACTAATATACCATTCAAAAGTTTGACAGACAGTAAAGAATTTTAGCAGAAGAACACATATTAAGTGAAGAAAACATAGAAGAGATAATAAAGTTTTACAGAAATTTCAGAATTTCCCTTACCATTTCCCTCGCAATCAGGGCAAAGTATGCTTTTGTATTTTGTGGTGGGTTGGTTACTATCTGAACCACCTGAAGCCTGCCAAAGCAAGATTGAAACACATTCTAAGAAACTGCAAAGAGTAAATTATGCTGTTCATTTCAACTATCATATAGTTCAACAGAAGTGTAATTAGGCGGTTTGGGTTGGTTTTAGGCCAAAACCGACGTGGACACAAATTTTTAGGACAGCTATGTGCAATCGAGCGGTTCAAGTTGGTTTTTGGCTAAAACTGATGTTGAAACCGGTTTCTAGAGAACTAGACTAATAGTCAAGTATATTTCGAACTGTTTGTTGTTATTTTGGTTTCAACAGTATTTTGATAGCCCCAATTAGAAAGGTTTATTCTAGAGAGACCACAAGGGGGAGAGAAGCTGATGAAAGGGGGGTGTGAGAATTCTATAGAAGGTGTGGGCCCTTGTTAGTTAGATATGGGCAAATATGGTAGTAGGAGATAGTGAGGTAGAGAGCATATTTTTAGTATATTTTAGTAAATAGTAGTTTGGAGAGGAATCAGAGGATACAGAGCTCTTGGATTCTCTTTTGCCGTTATAAATTATAATTTCCTCTCTGAATATAATCAAGGTTCTATCATATTTCAAACTCAACCAATACTCTACTCATCTACCAAGCTAATGATCGTTCAGTTCAGACAAACTCTTCCATTCATTTGTTTTCCCTAACCAAGAAGATGCACTTAAATAAATCCTTTGTGAAGGAAAATCAGTATAGAACTACAGATTATCCCATGTTTTCCAGTCCAAGAATCTACTGAAGTTCCGACAGTTTGTCGAGAAAACGGTCAGAACCAAACAAGTCCAACATAAATAGAAGATTAAATCTACCGTAGCCAATTCGTTTAAGCCACGAGTCCAACGATTGTTTCACATGGTATCAGAACAAGAGTTCTTGTGTCTGAACTCCTGTGACGACATTTTCTCCCTAATCAATATCTCGGTGCTAATTTCCAAGGCCAATAAGAGTTAAGAAAATTAATAACAGATAAAATTTACCATATCCTAGTAGTTTAGTTTGTGAGGAGGGAAATGAATGCCCAGAGAAACCTCACCTTGACCTCAAAAGACAGAATCCTAATGGGGTTTGTTCTTTGAAACGCCTCATTTGTCTGAAAAGCCTTCCGAGACACTAAATTGCGAACAAAAACCCCTGCAAAAACGCGACAAGAAATGGCGATATAAACACATCTTAACAGTGAATAAATGAAACAAAACCACCGAAATTTCCCAGATAGAGAAGGAAATACCAGGCTTGGGCTTGCCCGAGGCATTGAAGGAGCAAATGGGTGTGGAAGAACATATAGAATATGCCATTAAAATGGGGTTTGAGATTCGAATTTGTTCTTCGGGAGCGAAATTCAGAAGTTTTCTGATGAGCTTTCGTTCTGCTTCTGCAGTGAGTGATCGTCCGGTGTGTGGTTTAGTTGGTGGCGAATGATGCAAGTTTAGCCAGATAAGGCCCATTATCCCCTCCTCCTTAATTACCTTATTACCCTCGCCAATATTTCCCTCCAAAATGAACTGTAAAACACACACCTGAATTAGTGGTAGTTTAAAAAATCTTATTTTATTTTCAACGTCTTTTAAAATTTTAATTAATGGAACTTATGCATTCAATTAATTTCATCGAATAACTATCAGTCATGTAATATTTTAATTTCTGAATTTTAATGACTTAAATAGGTTATGTCAAGGAAAAAAAATGTCTTAAATAGGCACTGTCCATTGATAAATTCTTCCTACTTTACATAAACATTATTTTATTTTAGTTTTATTTTATTTTTTATTTAAATTTAATCATTTATTTGCATTACAAAATAGAAACATTACAGACATCGATTTATTTTTTTATTTTATGAATTGTTGTCTATATAATCAAATATTTAAAACCACGCTCAGTAGGTTAGTTTTTAAAATATTTTGTTTGTTAAATAGTTGAGGGTCATTGTAATTTAAATTTGAGAAATTAAAACAAAATATTTTTTAAAAGAATTTAGAATGTTTGAGAATTAAAATGAAATAACTTCGTAAATTAAACTTGAGCATAATTAAATTAAGATATATATTTTCAAAAAAAATCTGACTCAGTCAATATATTGTTGTACTAAGAAAATTAAATGAGATAAAATTAAATAAGATTTAAAGATATTATAAAAATACAACAACAATAATAATAAACTCTTTCTTCTCTTTCCTTTTCGTTTTTCCAAATGTTTTTTATGGCAAAAATTGTCAACAGTGTCAGGGGTATTTATGTAAACTCACGTCCACTCGTTTCTCGTCCTCATAAAACCGGCAAATTTTGATTTGTTTTCAGAGAACAGAGGCGAATTCGAGATCATGGGCTGCACTCTTTTCTCTGCTTCTCGATTTTTCTCTTGCCCAAGTGAGTTTCGTAATTTCTCAGCTCTTATGATAAGAATTCTTCTGTAATTTATGCTTTGTTTCTTCAGTTTTTCTATTTGGCTTCATAAATTCTGATATCTGGTTTCTTAGTCTCAATTTCAAGTTCGTAGAAATGGGGCTGATTTTTGTGTAAAAAGTTGCTGAAGAAATTAATTAATTATGTGTTTGATTAGTTAAAGAAGTGGATGGTTCTTTGAGGAACTCAAGAAGCTCATTTTATGGTGGCGATATACTGTATGATAAAAGTCCTCTGAGAAGAAACATAAAAGGCAGCGGCGGTGGCTTCTCTGTGGTTGCCTCAGTGGTTTCTACCTCACCTTTCTTCATTTACTTTCAATGTCTGTGGTGGTTTTTCTTTTTTACCCTTTTTTTGTTTCACATATATCTTCCAATATTTCTTTTAAAATGCAGAACCTTTTCGAGCTGGTTTGATATTCATGGAAGTATAATACTTACTCTCCCGACTGGGTTAGAGCTTATTGACCGCCATTATATTTTAAGAAAATAATAAATAGCTGTGAAATTTTTAGTGGAGGTGATAACCAGTCAAGAGGTAAGTATTATTCTTTCAAAAAACGTCTAACTTTTTTTTCTTGGCTTCAAGTCTTAGGCTGGAACCTTTATGCCTATTTCACTTTAGTACCCTAAACGTTTAAATATTTTGTTTTTGTTCTTTCACCTGTCAATGTTTTTGCATTATTTTTGTTTTCACCTGTCTATGTTCATCTCTACAGTTTTTTTTTTTAGGGAAAAGAAGGAAAAAGAAAGCTAACTTTTGCTTTTCATAGATTGGAAGGAGGGTCAAGGGCCGAGAGACCGTGATTCCTGATCCAGATTACAGAATTCCAGTAGTCCTACTTGGTGGGTGCTAGAGAATTCTTTTCCTGTTAAGACTTGGTTTGCACTTGGAATCATATTATCTTTTGGTTCTTAAATTTACAAGTTCAGACGTTTTGAGGACAAAAACCATTATCGAAAATTGTTGGATTTTTGGGTCATTTTCTCTAATGTCATGTAAAATCCAGGTAAAAGAAGCCCACTGGCAACAAAACATACATTTATTTACACTTTCTCCAATGGCCTGGTCCATGAATGTTTCTCTGCAAAGTACATTGTATATGTCACTTGGCATATTAGAAAGAAAGGTTATGTTATTTCAAAATCACTCCTCGGATTGACATATTAGGAAGGTCATGTAGTTTCAAAATCACTACTTGGATATAGTAAGACAAAGAAGCTCTTCATATTTTTACAATGATATGATGGAGCCACATGGTTTTACTTTTATATTCTATCCAAGAGACCTCATATAAACGAGGACGTTGTCCTTACCTTTTTACTAAGATCTTTCCCACTTTTAATCTGGAATTATGTTTGCATCTCTAACAAAATAACATTAGAACCTATATTTGGTCATTACTTTTCTTAGCATGATTGGTTTACTCTTTCCCTTTATCTTAATCAATGAATCATCATAATCGTGGCAGGTGCGGCTGGCGGTTTAGCTTATACTGATAATCTTCTGTCAGCTGTACCTGTTGGTCTCCTTGGACTCCTGCTACTAGTCCAGGTAATAATAAAAAGGAAATTACCTTCATGAAAGAAAGTTTCACTCACAAGATTTTAAGATATATCCAGAAGATGCCTTCAAATTTCACCGTCTGAGAAAATATCTGCTGCAAGTTTTTTAGACCGCCCAATTTCCTTGATAAGCTATTGGAGATGCATTAATACCTTTTTAAGTGGCAGCTGATGATTTTTTCTTCCTTCTTCCAGGCTACGCGAGTAAGATTTGTCTTCGATGACGAGGCATTGGTATGAGCCTCTTAATTTCGCAAGATATTTGCTTGTTATCGTATAGAATATGGAATCTGGAAACGGTTTTTCTTTTTCTTTGCATTTGGGCAAGGAGTTGAAATGTTTTTGTGATCCTCTGAGACCAAAATCTCTGCAAAAGTTCTCTAGATTCAAGAATGCTAAAGTCAGTTCCGTGATTTTAGGAGGTAAAAATAGGAGATCAGCTTGAGGACTCTGGCGAAAATGCCTTTGTGGGTGGAAAGAATCGTTGGAAGTAGGTAATTTTACACACTTCAAATGAACCATTTATTTAAAGTAATTGACCCCATGTGATTTTACTGCAGATATTCAACTTTTGTGAATTGGGAGTTATGGTGGCCAAATTTCCCCATTCTGGTGTACTTTAAAGAGACTCAAACAAAGCCAGAAGGCCAAGTGCACTTCTTCCCAGTGATATTTGTAAGTTTTAATAGATGCAGATGAGGCTCGTAGTGATACCTTGTTATTTTTAATAGAGGGATGATTGGTTGAAAGTTCTATTAACAAACTGCATTTTCCCTTTTCAATCAGAATGGGAAGCAACTGTACGATGTCATGGTGGAAAGAGCTGGTCCTTCAAAAACTAGTGGACCAAAAACGTCATGAAGAACAAACCTTTTTCCCGTCAATCTTGTTCAGGTAATACTAATTTGGATTCGAAAGTTTTACGATGAAATGAGAACTTTGACGGCTCAATCTTTCAGATTATCCGAACAGTGAAATATCTTTGAAATTTACTGAGGATTTGGCTCAATGGGTGGTGTATTGAGCTCAGTTCTGGCCTTCAACCATTTGTTTGCAACGAGTTATGAATTATTATCAAACAATGTCTTCAACTAATCTCAATATTTATGTATAAATTTACAAGGATCTCTCTTATATTTGTATGTTCAACCCTCCCCACAGGGAATGGATGGACGAGTCCCCCGACGGATTGAAGTCCTAGCCAACATGCTTCTCTATGCACTATATAAATACAACTTGAGATCCGATTCTGAGGCTGATTTTTGTCCTTGCCCTGAAATGTGCTTGATATACATTAACCATATAAGCAAATGGATCTTACCCATACATTAGTAAGAGATACATTTATACTACTTGATGCTGAATATTCATTTGTAATTGCAACAAATTTAATACAAGGAAATATTAATGTTGGTATGGTGCTAATATGTAGGGATACAGGCCAAAACTGATTGAACCAACTCGTTTCAGTTGGTTTGAACCTAAGTATGCTTATCAGATTGTTCAATTGTGATAGAGTTTTCGATTTCAGTTGGTTTTGGATTAGTTTTGTTATCAATTTTGACCAAAAACCTACTTGAATCAACCTGCTAACACCTTTAGAAGCAATTATTCTGACATAATATTAAGATGCAGGATTTTTTAAGATACTCAGTTCTCAGTCACTAAAATCTAAGAGACTTTTCCTTTTGTTGAACTTATTTCTTAAGGCCTATGGTTACGGTTAGGAACACAAGCTGAATGTCATCTGATAAATGAGCAAGTACTGCTAGAATGGATTGAATTCTTGCCAAAGTAATTGACGATATTGAATTAAGAAATTAGAACCAACAAAATGGAATTGTTCTGCACAACAAAATACAGCCCAAAGGTTTCCATTTCACATGGTTTCTGACTATCAAATACAAATAGTGAAGATAAGTTTTGAATCTAGTGTGAAAATAAACGTTATCATCTGCAAGATCAAGCAGCAACAAACTAAAGAATGGTACAATCAAAACCTCAGGAATCAAAGATATCCCACATGATTGGCAAATGAAAAATCGATGGGAAGATTGACGGGTTCGATTCATACAATCTGACCACGCTTCAAAATGCAAGTTCCAAAGGCAGCTTCTTCTGCATATAACTCCCTCGACATTCTACGAAATGTTTGCTACATGATTTACCTGAACAACTAAGGCGAATGGCTCTTTTCCAAGGCAGTCCCCAAACCATATCACAAACACGAGAAACCATGTTTGATCATACCACGAGAAGGCAAAGGCGACTCGAATTTTCTTTGAGAAATTATTTGCAGGTCCATCGTCCTCTGGGGAAGCTTTGGAAAAGAATTTCAACCAGTTTTTGTGCAGTGTGCATCTGTACCATGCTGAGTGCAGTGATGGTAACCTACAGTATGAAGGAATTCTCTGATCTCTCTTTTGCTACTATTACTGGCTTTTAGCAGCCTTTCGTCTTCCTCATAGATCAGATATGGAGCTTCAGTGCCCTTCCTAGATAGAAGTTTCTTTGCTCCTTTCAGCACATGATATTCCCATCCCTGAACGTCGATTTTTATCAAAAGCACCCGTTCCGAATCTGGGATTACTTCATCTAGCGGAATTGACTTCACTTGAACTGCTATTTCTTCATTAGATTTGAACGCTAACTTTGCACCAGTTGCTGAAACAGCACTGTTGTCAAGCCGACCAACCAACTGGGTAGCAAGCAAAAGTCAGTGAGCACATAGTGCATCTAAAGTAGGGTAAAATAAGCTTACCAAAAGAAAGAACCAGATTAGGGTGGCCCAATGCCCACCCCTTCACTAGAAAAAGTAAAGAAATTTTGAAGAATGAACATATGATCCCAATGACATGACATTGAACCTGAATGAAGTATGAAACCAACCAAGTTTTACATGATGCTCTCTGTCATCATCTTAATTCCAATAAGAAATCTGACGTCTTTTTATACTACAAAGACGAGCTTACATACACCTCGACTAACCTCATATAAGAATATCCTACTATATTTGGTTGTCAAAAACGAAACTCATAAGATTCGATATCTGAAGTAGATGATCTCCATGGAGTTGGGACCATTCCTCCGAAGTCCTTGTACGTTTTAAACTTACCAATCCTGCCATGGTAGTTAAAGAAGAAATCTAAACCTAATGCAGACCAGTTACCCCAAAAAAGGAAACAATCAAGTTTTACTCTCGATCTTCCTAAGAGTCATCCATCCCAGATAGCACCCAAAATGGAAACAATTTTGCTAACCATATAATGAGTTGGAAATTTTGGAGATCTAATCAAATCTAATCACAAAGTAGACATTAAGTTCAGCAGCCAAGAACCAGGAAAACTGTAAAGATCGAAATCATGAAGCAGATAATACCTTATGGACAGTGATGTTCCCCAGCCTATCAGATGCAGCAGCCTCAAACACATTCACCAATTCACCAACCCTATTCAGGTAGATTCCATCACAGATTCTCTGCAGATTTTCAAAAACCGGCTCGAATGCCAAGACACGAAATCCCATCGCGGCAGCGGCGAAGCTCGCCATTCCCACATTGGCACCCACATCAACTACAAACCCAGCTCTGGACTCGCCCTTCATCTTCTCCAAAACCTCCTGAATCGTCACTGAAATGTCTGGCTTCCGGAAGGGCTTTCCCTTCAGCATTCTGACGATGTTCTTGTGGGGCTTATCGGGTAAATTCCCCAAATCTGCGATCGAAAATAGAAACGGGTATCGAACTCCTTCCACGACGTTGGCGATCACCGGGTACGATTGAGGACATTTGAAGCAATCGAAGGGGGAGATTGTTCGGAATGGAAAATGTGGTTTGATTGTGAAACTAGGGTTGGAGTGCTCTGAAGGGCTAGAGTTACCGAAGAGGAAGAAGAAAATGATGAGGATTGAGAAAGAAAACAGCAAGAACAGGGAAATCGGCGATAGAATCTTCGGTGATTTGTCTCTTTTCCAGGCATTTGCCATGGAAATTTGAGTTCGAACTACTAAAACTTCTGAAAAAGAGAGATTTCAGAGTGAAGCTGTGAAGAATCCAAATTTCCCAGAAAGCTAATAGTAGATCTCGGAACGAACACGATTCTTTCTGATCCAAAAACCCTTATATCTGGCGAGAGAGAAGATTGTTCATGAACAAGAAGAGTCAAAATATTAGTTTTATGAGATGGTATAAATTCTTCTAGTTGAGAAAATGGTATGTTTTAATTTTTATGCATGAAGTTGACTTTTCTTCATTAATATTAACAGTTAATAGTTGATATTCTCAATTAATGGTGTTCTGCCTATTAATTAAATGTATGATTTCTTAAAAAGATAGTTTAGAAAATGATGAGAAAGGTAATAAATCTTTAGCTTAACTCCTACTTCATTGAACTCCCATTAAAAAAACCCCTACTTTATCTCAATTTTGTCCCAAAAGATTTAGTAAACATTGTTGATGCAAAAATTTACCTAGGTGTCTGTTGTAGAACGATCTAGATAGGGAAAGTCTCTCTAACGAACTAAAGTGTAGCGAGTTCGAGAGGGAAGACCTCTCGACCGAGTTGACGTGGAGCGAGTGGGGGAAGAGAGACCAACAAAAACAGGTGGAGCACTAAGACACTCAAGTTAGTATAAGTTCGAGCTGACAGATCATTTTCAAATAGATTTTCATACCTAATTAGGTGAAATATGCGTGTATTTATAGTCCGCAAATGGGTAGTTTCATGTAACATCAATCTAATTCACTATTCCAAGGTAGGTGACCTACCAAGTATTGTCAGTCGTACTGATGATTGGCCTTAATTCCTTCAATAGCTTGACCTCGAGGTTTGTTCTCGGAGCCTGAGGCCCCTGCACAACCTGCTAGCTCGGCGTGCATCTTTCCTTGGTGGAATAGCTTGGCCTTTTATAGTTGGCATCTCAGCCTCCCAACAAACATTGGTAGTGGGTAACAAAAACAACAACAAATAAATCTTTTCTTTTCTTACTTTCATACTTGATTTATATGAATTAATTTAAAACGTGTGTGATTCAAAAAGAATAAAGTTCTAAATTTAAACGGAGTAGTATAATTAATCCCCTCAATTTGCTAAATTTACGATTTTTAAAGATCCATAATTATATATAAATCTAGTTCCAGCTCATCATAAAAATAAAATAATAGATCAACTGATTTTTCGTCAATGTAAAGATGGAAGAAGCACGTGCTAATATAGTTTCAAAAATTTTCTCATCACTGTTCGTTCTTGTTTTTCTTTTGAAAAAAAAAACCTTTTTGTTGTTTTGAATATTTTTAATTGAATTTAAACTTTGTATAACCAAAGTTTTAAATGTTAATGTAAGCATAAATGAATCAATAGATATTTTTGAAATATTATAAAATAAAATTAAAAATTCACACATTATAAAATAAAAATAAAAATTCACACAACGAACCACCATTTCACTGTTTTCAAATAAATTAAATATTTTTAATATTAATACTTTGTCCATATTAGTGACATTTTATTAATATTTATTGTTATTTTTTCAATATACTATAAAATTGTCGATTAATCCCTTATATCGATGTCGACCTCATAGAAATGTCATGTCGATGATAATTTTATATTCTATCTAGAACTAAATTCAAACACTCCTATCTTAATTTCATGACCAAAATCAGTTATTCTGGGTCAGATTTGGACAAAATTCTAAAAAAAAAGTAATTGTCTCTAAGGCAAAAGGGGAACGCAAAGTAAGTTTTGGTGTTAACTTTGATAAAATCAGCTGAAAGAGCATGTAGGAAGTTTCAAGATGTGATTTAATTTCACGTTTTTGTTCTCTCTGTAACTGCAAATTCCAAACATAAAGTAGACCAAACCGTTGAGATTTTAAAACTTCCATCACCCTTAAAACCAAAATCAACCCTCCCATCTTGCTTGTGGCTTCCTCCAATAGTTCCTTCCCCAAACACCATGGTAAGAACCTGCTCAGTTCAATTCAGATTAAGATTTCGAGACTTACCCACACCAACATGTTAATGATTTTCTGTTGCAGGGCGCTTTCGCTGTTCCTGCAGTCATTTTCGGGTTAGTTTGTGCTGTAACGTTCACAATAGGGTTTTCAAAAGAGAATGTTTTTAACGTCATGAGCTATGGAGCTGTGGAAGGCACCACTAGAGATAGTTCTCACGTAAAGTCTTCGATACCCGTAGATTAGTAGTTTCGTATTTCTATTTTTTAATACGATACAACCTCTTCCATTGGAAGAACTAGCAGAATTTAAATGTACTTATTCTTAAAGATCAAACATTCAAATCCTCACCACCTTGTTTAACTAAAGAAAAATGCTAGAGTGGAAGGATTGTTTCTTCCACCAGAAGAGTTGTCTTAAGGAATATTAGGAATTTTTAGAATATTAGAAGAGAACTCTTTCATTATTCACTACAAATTCTATTAGAAAAGCCATTATAACTTATAAGTAGGTTTAGATACTATTTTGACCCCTTTAAGATTTTAGTTCATGTCCTTTCAAATCGTCTACTTTGGTACTTATGCTTCTCACTTTTGTTCATTTCAATCTCTATACTTTCAAACGTCTATTTTGGTTCCTTAATTTTTATTTTTGTCTTATTTCTTTCGATCAAAATTTCAACATAAAACTTCATTCACTAAATTTCTTGAAATGTAATCATAAATTTGTATTAAAGGATTTCCATTGTACATAAAATTTGTGTTAAAATTTTACAAATAGAAAACCAAAATGGTCATTTTTTTAAAGTAAAGGAACTAAAATGAATGTTTTGAAAATACAAGGACTAAAATAAACCAAAATTAAAAATACAGAGACCAAAATGGACGTTTTGAAACTACAAGAACCTTATAAGTACAATAGAGTGGAGGGCATACTTCAAACAAAGCACTGACAAATATGTCCTAATATCTCCCCAATATTCCTAAAATTTTGCCCTGCTAACATTCCTAACAAAGCACTGGGTCTAATAATCTCCACAGTTCAAGCAACAAGGATTATACAACACATGTTATTATGACAGGCAATACTAAAAGCATGGAAAGCAGCATGTAGCTCTAAAACAGAAAGTTCTACAGTGCTAATTCCCAAGAGGCATACACTTCTAGTAAAACCAATTGTTTTGAGAGGTCCATGCAGGGCAAACAGCATCACTTTCATGGTAAAGAAAAAGCAGGGGCTTTCCCCTTTATGATTAAGTCTTCCCTAGATACTACCTGTCTTCAGGTAGATGCAAATTTTCACAGATACATGGAGAGATTGTGGCACCAACCTCACCAGGCGAATGGACGCGGACTGACCAGAGCCAGTGGCTGGCTTTTGAAGGGGTAAGCAGGCTCAATGTCACTGGCACCGGCATTGGCAAAATAGATGGAAGAGGTACAAGATGGTGGAGCCAATCATGTAGGGATCACCCAGACTTGGTAAGTAAATCATCAGATAAGAAAAACTTTCCAATGCATATAAAGTAATATCCAGTGTCTGATGTTTCTTCTACATTTTTCAGAAGGGTTGCACCTCATTAGCACCTACTGTAAGTATTTTCTGCACAAAGCAATTTTCTAGTATCTGCTAGAGAGAGAGAGAGAGTATTTGATGAACTTACCAAATCTCGTGCATTATTGCAGGCAATGAAGATTATTTCATGCAACAACACCAGCTTGAGCAACATTCACTTTATTAACAGCTCACAAACACATGTACTAATAATGGGGAGCAAGAGAGTCGAAATTAAAAATTTGGTAATCACAGCTCCAGAAAGCAGCCCAAACACTGATGGCATTCACATTCATTCCTCTCACAATGTTATTATAAAGAACACAACAATAGGCACAGGTAATTTGGATGGAATTATTTCCAGAAAGATCGGCTTTAACAAGATTAACAAGTATCGACGTTTTTAATTAAGAAAATAAATAACATTAATTGTGACGAGCAGGTGATGATTGTGTATCTATAGGAGATTACACCTCTAACGTGAATATCTCACACATCAGATGTGGACCTGGTCATGGAATAAGGTAGGTTCCCTATTCAGATAAGGAACTCCATAAAACACGCTTTAGAACAAGAACACGGAAAAATATAGAACAAAATTCGTTGTTTCAATAGCTCATTTCGTATACTATGTGAACCTGAAAATAGCATTGGAAGCTTGGGAAGAAGCGGCAATTTTGTACAAGTAGAGGATATTAGAGTGAGTAATGTCTACTTCAAAGGAACTACCAATGGAGCTCGGATTAAGACTTGGCAGGTAATGGAAATTCTACTCATTAATTTATAAAATAAACTGTAAAGCTTACACTAACACTTCCAAAAGATTGGTAGGGGTAACATCCGAAGGGTCACATTTCAGAATCTCTATTTTGAATCAGTCAATAACCCCTTTATTATAGACCAAAACTACGGTAACCTAGGGGGACTCAGCAACGAAAAGGTAAAAGAAACTGAGCTTCTTTACTAGATTAGTTTTAGTTTTTTCATAATTCAGTGCTCAGGAAATTTTGAATTTGCCCCAGCAAACCGGAGTTCATATAGCCAATGTATCCATCAATAACCTTTTCGGGACATCAATCAGCAATGTGGCTATCAATCTCAATTGCAGTAGGTCTGTTGCCTGCACTGGTATACTGTTAAAGTCGATACAGCTCAAATCTGCAAATAGTGGACAAAAGGTTACCTCAAGTTGCCTCAATGCCCATGGATTTTCCTTTGGAGTGGTACAACCTGAACCCTGTCTTCAGATATAAATTTGATGGAGTCTTTGAAAAAAGTTTCTATCCCACCCTAATTAGCTAGCAGTTGATGAAACTTGACCATGATCTTTTAGGCAAGATATTAGGACCAATAAGGCATTTTTATTATTATACTATATGTTAAACCCTCTAATTAAAATAATAAAATCAAGATATGTATCACATGTGCAATCCAAGTGAATGAAACATAATTGTTTTGATGGAAACGAACCATTTTCACTAAACCTCTTTATATGATTATGCCTATAACTATTAACAAAAGTAGTACACTTATACATGAACTATAAAGGAACCAAAGATAATTACATATTTTGTAATAAATGAGATCGACATGAACATTAACCAGTGCTTGGTACAGGATGGAGCATATAATACTGCCCCTCATAGAGCTAACTTTTGAATTGCCGTCTCCTTAAGTGAAGTCACCAATCTACGGAACACCTTAAGATTGTGTCCTATTTTATTCTGGAACACAACCAACAAAAAGAGAACAAAGCAAAAACATATTACGTTCCATTTCATACATGCACAAATTTGAAGTAAACAAAACAATTATGAAGCCATAGGACGAATTTTTCAACAGCCAGAAAAGTGTCACAAGATGAAGGAATGCAAACGACCATAGTCAGATAAATGGTCTCTTGCTATGACTAAGCCAGGGACTCAGCTAAATATTGATTAAACTGGAATGGTGGCCACAATAATATCTATTTGATACCGTGAAGAATATCGATACCAACTTTGCRCACTTTGAATTCCTACGTGATACTTACCTAATCCTACAAAATTTGGTGTAAAGAATTCTTTTTTAAGATATTTAAGATTTTAAGATGGCCACCCTAGTTTGAATCCATAACCTCAAAGGCATATGGATTCTTAGTTATCTCTTTGACCATAAGTCCAACTCATGTAGTTTAGAGGGTCATAATAATAAATATACTAGAAACAATCATAATAAACGATCAACAAAGGTGGAAGTTATAAAGTTATAAATTCTAATATTTTTATGATGAGTTCAAACCTTGAGGGTCATTTACCAAATATATTAATATTTTTAGGAGCCTCTTAACTCTAAATATTGTAAGGCCAGGAGATGCATTTATAAAATTAATCGAAGACAATCATTCCTGAGGGATGGCCAAGCATTTGGAGATTCTCTCCAAGACCCTAGAGTCTAGGTGGACAACTTAAAATTTTAAATTAGTATAGGTGGGCCACGAGCATAATGCAAGGAGTCCAACCACACTACCTTGGTTATCAAAATATAAAGAGTAGGTAAAAATTAAAAATAAAATATAAAATCACAATACCCTGTGAAATATTAAATCTTGCCATTCAGGTTCTACGATATACAATTTTATAGTTTGAATTTTCAGTAACCTAAATAGTGGTGGTTTGTGAGATTAAAGCCGTGCAACTGAATGCAAATAGTAAAGGAGTGAGACGTAGAAGCATACCTCACTAAGCAACTCAAGCCTTTCTAAGATAGGAATCAACTTTCCACTCAATGAAGTTATTTCCTGTGCTGATCTTGATTCAGCATGATATGAAATTGCTTTAACATTCGCATTCCCATCAGGAATAACAGTGCTGCAAAGTACCAAAAAATGCAAAGGTTACTACAATGTGACAAGATCTGCCTCTTTTTTGTCCAAATATACACAAATCCAACCAAAAAAGATACGATCATGTCTTAGTAAAATGAAGCTAATAACCTGCCAATCTTAGTAAGTGAAATATCACATTATCCATATCCATTACATTACAAGAAAGGAGATGAAAAGGGAGGGGGAGAATGGCTGAGTATGAAAGATGCAATATCACATTCATGAAAAGAGCATACCACACTATAACATGCTAATATTAGTAAATATATCTTATAACTTACCTATCCTGAAAATGGATAAGCATGACATTTAAGACATACTCCGCAAGAGGGAGTAATAATGTAATCATCTGATTTTTATTTCCAACAACCTTGCACATTTCAATCATTGCAACATATCTCCTGTAAAACAAGATGAAACCTTTAGGAATGATACAAAAGCAACATAAGTAAATACACTTAAATTCATGATCCACTGAACTTTTTGAGAAGACATTGGAACTACTTGTTACTAAAAGGGATAGATATAAAGTTGCATTAAATTTTGGTCACTGACAACATCTTTCTTAAAAGTAATCATTGGTATAAAGGATATCAGAGTAAGGCGATTCCCATCAGCCAAGCAGAAGAATGAATTAAACAATATACAAGTACACTTACTGGCTGAAAATTAGGGGTGATGCAGAAAACATGGTTATTGGAAATTATTTTGCACATGAAAACGTCATGAAATATACAAGGTATAGAATTTGTGGATGATGTATTTATGCATGACTAAAAGTGTTTTTATAAATATAAGTAGTGTTTACTTATTTATTTATTTATTTTTAGTACAACACGTGGGGGTGGGGGGTGCGAACATATAACCTCTTGGTCGAAAATACATGTCTTAACCAATTGAGCTCGGCTCAAATTGGCAAATAGTATTTACTTAAAATTTCAAAGAGTGGTAAAAAATATTTTTAACCAATTGAAAGCACTTTTATAAATTTTCAATAATAAAAAATATTTCGATAAATTTTCAAAACACTTACATAAAAAGTGCTCACTGAAAAACACATTTCTGAAAAAGCATTACAAACTCACTAAACAATCAAATTGTGGTCAACAATGTTTAATGGGGCAAAGAGAGCTTCATTTTCTTGTTAATTGACGAGAATATACAGAATTTCACCAGATAAAATAATCAGAACTTCATTAGATGAAATGTAGAACAGATATAGGAAACTAGATACGAAGGGTTTATTCTCTAAGCATTCCCAATAAATATGACAACCCAAAAATAAATAAATAAATAGAAGAGATAGAAAAAGAAACTAAAGCAAAATTTATGTACTCAAAATAAAGACAGACTAGGTTGTATGTATAACGTAACATTCCTTGAGGAATTAAATACATTGCTCAGAACCAATCAATTTCATAGAACATGAAAGAACACCAGCATCATGCATCCATTGACATACTTATGTATTGTGCTATTTAGCCATCAAATTAGATCAAAATTAAAATTTGCAACGAACGCAAAATTATTCACCAAAACTAAGATAAATAATGTGGAAAAAACACCTTCTCTGGATATCATCAGATAATGAAGCAAAATCATCGCCAACACAGCGTACAATAATTTCCTCTACCTCCTGTCTTGACAGTTCATTAATGTCTCGAATCTGCAAAATCGCAAACCATGATAACAATGCATTCGACCCATAAAACAATCAGGAAAGGAAAAATACAATGCAGCAAGATGTTTATTTGCTCTTGTATGGTCGCACCTTATTTAGCAACAATGATCTTTCTTCAGCTGCTCTTTCAAGAGTAGTCGTCGTAGAATTAAGGAGTATCCCAAGTAAATCCAGAGATGGCCGCTGAGCCCTAACAGGAGAGCTGTAGCCAGAGGAAGCACCAGAGACCTGAATGATATCACATCAGAAAGTCAAGTTCCAATCATTCAATTCCTCCCATGGCATATTCAAATTTTTGCCAGAAAACACTGTAAAACGAATTACCTCCAATCTTAGGGATTTCCTTGTAACTAAAAAATATAAATAAGAGCTCAAACTGAAGTTTAGCTCAATGGAGTAGAGTTCTGAGCTTCTCCGATTCTGAAGAAAAAAAACCGTTAAAGGCTAGTCATTGAAGAAAAAAGAACTTAGCTTATGGAGATTTCATAAGTTAGTTTTATTTCCATTAAAACCATTAAAAATAATAATAAAAAAAAGATTACAACCAACCTTTAGCAATTTAACTCCTGGACCAGAAGTAAGAGAATCCGATTCACGAGAGAAAAGTGAATGCATCAATTGGAAGAGACTTTGAACAAAACCGTATTCATCAGTCTCCTCATATGGCCAAACCTTCCAAAAACAAACCCTCACAAGTGAGATTCATCAAAATTCAAACAAACTAAAATGAGAAAAAATTAAATGAGATTAAAAAAAAAAAAAATGATTCACAGAAATAAATACTTTACGAAATGTAATTCAACAGAAAATATTTTAGGACTAAAAAATGATTTTCAATGTTAGATTTGGATTTTGTAAGCATTATATTCTCCCTACAAGTTAGGCGACTTTTGGCACTCTATGTTTTCCAGTCTACTATACTAATGCTGTTATGAGCCTCTTTGAAGAGTGAAGACAATATTCCACCACGTCCCGAAGCTTGACTCTGTTCACATGTTTATTTACTAATCACTTGGATCATTTGTTCATTTCATGTATATCTTATCGTATTTCAGTACCGCTTCCAGTATGACTTCTATCTGGTCATCGTAATTGCTGAACCTTTAAGTTATAAATCAGGGAATCTGCCATTTTAGCTCTGTAACAGTGATTATCTTAATAAAAGGCTCCATTGCTCCCAAAAAAAAAATAGAAAAACAGACTAACACTTGAAATCAGGGCCTTTTTGACCGAAATCCTTCTTTAAGAAATTTACCTAACACCGACGCTACCTCTTACAGTCATTTTCAATAGTTTTGCTTAAATCTTGGTCTTGCTTCAATGTATCTTCAGACGGGTCGCTTTAACTTTCATTTGTTAAAAAAAAAAAAAAAAAAAATATTTGTTATTTGTTTGTCTGAATAACCTCGTAACAAATTCAATCTCACCAGTATAATTGCAATTGTCTATAATTTCTTTCCTGTATTTTGGTGTTAGGGTGAAGTTATCAACTCCTAGTTCGATCGTTCGTTCGTTCCCATACAATTTTACATAAGAACCCTAATTCGTTTTGTCGATTGACTGCAACTGTCTTGAGAAGATTCCAAAGATAAAGTTTTTCTCCGCCCCATGTCAATAGGGGGAAGTAACAACGAGAGAGGATAGGACAAGGGAAAGGGCGCCATGGAAGATGAGAAAGGAAGAGGGAAATCGGTGGCGGATGATTATTAAGAAATTTTTAGGAATATTAGGGTTAACCATCATTCGAGAATTTACCCTAGGGAATAGATTTCCCCCTTCCCTATAACT